GAAAAGCAATGTTTTTATTGATTTCAAAGAGAGGAAGGGGTTGGGAAAGAGAGAGAAACATCAATGATGAAAGAGAAACATCCATTGGCTGCCTCCTACACACCCCCTATTGGAGATAGAACCCGAAACCCAGGCATGTACCCTGACCAGGAATGAAACCATGACCTCTTGGTTCACAGGTCAACACTCAACCATTGAGCCACACTGATAGGGCTGATTTCTTAAAATATATAGTGAAACGTGTCAAGATTTGAAAAATGGGCATGACTCAGCGAACCAATATCTTCTAAATGACTGATGATGCATGAGGTTATAAAACAATACATAGGACTCTTCTAATCCTTTACCAAGCCTATGAAGCAGGTATTGTTACCCTTTTTATCCAGGTGAAACTACAGAAAAGCTAAATAACCTGAAGATACAAAACAATAAGAATGTGAGCTGGGATCTGAACTAGGTCGTCTGACTCCAGAGATTGCTCCTTACCAAGATACAACCCAGCCTCTCAAATACAACAGGGGCCAGGCAGCAAAGCTACCAGATAAAATGGCATACTGGAGAATACACAACCCCTTTTCTTTATTTTTATTTTTGTTAATCCTCATCTGAGGGTATTTTTCCAATTGCTTTTCAGAGAGAGAGAGAGTGGAAAGGAGGGAGGGAGTGGGAGAGAAAGAAACACTGATGTGAGAGAGACACATCAATTGGTTGCCCCCTACACACACACCCCCAGCTAACCACTGAGCAAGGCTGGCCAGGGCTACTCAACCCTTTTTAAAGGACAAACCACTACTCATCTCCAGCCAGTTATTGCCATAGAGCAGGGGTGGGGAACCATTTTTCTGCCAAGGGCCATTTGGATATTTATAACATTATTTGCAGACCATACAAAACTATCAATTTAAAAATTAGTCTGCTAGGAAAAAGCCAATCAATGATTCTCTCTCATCATTGATGTTTCTATCTCTCTCTCCCTCTCCCTTCCTCTCTGAAATCAATAAAAATATACTAAAAAAAGTTAGCCTGCTATATTCGGTCAAACACTTAATTAACTCACCCTAAATGGCTTGGCAAGGCCAGACCAAATGATTTCTGGGGCCTTACATGGCCCGCAGGCCAATGGTTCCTCACCCCTGCCATAGAGGAATGCAGGCTCCAAGTTGCCTGATGTTCCAATTTTTCAAGAGAAACCAGCAACCTGAGGGGAAGGCTTTAAAGACAGACTAATAATTTTTAATGTAACAGACTACGAAAAGTCCTCTGATGTGGTTTTAGATTATACATTGCAACTAATCTTTAAGAAATTTCCACTTGTTGAGTTTTGATAGAGTATCAAAGAAGAACATACACAATTATTTGATAAGGCATTCAAATACTCTTCCCCTTTTCTAATTACACATCTGTTTAAGGCTAAATTTTCTTCATATACACATCAGATAAACCAATATTTCACAATAGAGTAAACATAAATGTCTTCATAACATTTATTATATTAAAGAAATTTGAAAAAGTATAACAATGCTACTCTTGTCACTATATTTTATTTTAGAAGTTATTTAAAATGTTATTAATATAAAATTTATTATTGCTATGCTTTTACTAAAAGCCACCTTTAAAAAAAAATAAGTAGATCTCTTTAAAAAAAGGTTTTATTTCAGAGAGAGGGAGAGAGGGATAGAAACATCAATGATGAGAGAAAATCATTGATTGGCTGCCTCCTGTATGTCCCCTCCCCTACTGGGGATCAAGCCAATAATCCAGGCATGTGCCCTGACTAGGAATCCAATCTCTTGGTGCATGGGAGGACATTCAACCAACTGAGCCACACTGGCCAGAACTATTACTGCTATTTTTTTTTTATATATTTTTATTGATTTCTTACAGAGAGGAAAGGAGAGGGATAGAGAGTTAGAAACATCGATGAGAGAGAAACATCGATCAGCCGCCTCCCGCACACTCCCTACTGGGGATGTGCCTGCAACCAAGGTACATGCCCTTGACTGGAATCGAACCTGGGACCTTTCAGTCCGCAGGCCGACGCTCTATCCATTGAGCCAAACCGGTTAGGGCTATTACTGCTATTTTTAAATAAACTTTTAAACTTTCTCAGCTTTAAATTTTAATACAATAAAAATCAGTAAATATGACCCACATAAACAGAAATTCTTTGAGGTCTTCGATGATTTTTAAAAATGTAAACTTTTCCTAAGACCAAAGAGTTTGAGAAGTTTTGCTTTAGAACAACAGTTCTCAACCAGAGTGATTTTGCTAACCAGGGAGCATTTGGCAATGTCCCAAGAAATTTCTGGTTGTCACAACTAGGGAGATGCTATTTGGCATATACTGATTAAAGGCCAGGGATGCTGCTAAACACCCTACAATGCACAGGACAGCCCTCATAACAAGGAATTATCCAACCCAACATGTAAATACTGTTGAGGTTGAGAAACTGCTTTTCAAGAATATTCAATGACCCATGAAAATGTTAATATTATGTAAGAGGAAAGTTATAGAACGGCAGATGGCCTAATTCCAATTTTATTTTTAAAATATGCACATATGCATACAAAAAGGCTAGAATATTTCCCATGTGTTAAAAAATGGTCATCCTGAGTAGGTGGAACACTTCTTACTTCCTTTAAATATCTTTATTTTCCAAATTAATCAACACATGATAATTAATACATGATATTTTTAAAACTTATAAGTGGGAAGCCTATCTTATAAGTGCCATATTCTGATTACTTGTATGATTCAACAGGAAATTCTCAATGGTAAAGTATGGAATTAGTGAAATGTCCAAAAACAAAAGCTCCTCAAATAGAGCAAGAAGAGCACACACATACACAACAACAACACAACAGATTCTCAGGCCTCAACAATAGTAAGAATTTGCAGAGAGGTTATTAAGGTAGTAGATGATGCATTGAAAGGTATTCCAAAAAAACAGAAGAAAGAAAGGTACTCCACACCACAGACTGCCGCTATGTCCAGTCCCTCTTCTTTTGCCATAGACAACTAACCTGGACAATATGCTCACCCCTAATTATATCACATATGCTCTTCATTCATTCTAAGCAGGTTCTGATTTTTCAGGTTTTTTTCAATAAGAACACTGCTTGCCTGACTTTTGCAAAATTCCTTCCATAAAGAACATTAACAATGCCCTGGCTGGTGTAGCTCAGTTGGTTGAGTGTCATCCCATGTACCAAAAGGTCATTATTGGCTAGATTCCCAGTCAGGATACATGCCCTGGTTGTGGGCTTGATCCCCAGTAGGAGGCAGCCGATCAATGTTTCTTTCTCACATCAATATTTCTCTCTTTCTCCTTCTTCCTTCCTCTTTCTCTCAAATCAATAAAAACATATTTTAGCCCTAACCGGTTTGGCTCAGTGGATAGAGTGTCAGCCTGTGGACTGAAAGGTCCCAGGTTTGATTCCGGTCAAGGGCGTGTACCTTGGTTGCGGGCACATCCCCAGTGGGAGGTGTGCAGGAGGCAGCTGATCAATGTTTCTAACTCATTGATGTTTCTAACTCTCTATCTCTCTCCCTTCCTCTCTGTAAAAAAAAAAAAAAAATCAATAAAATATATTTAAAAAACAAAACAAAAACATATTTTAAAATAAATAAATAAATAAAAACATTAACAAGCCCTGGCCAGGTAGCTCAGCTGGTTAAAGCATCGTTCTGATACCCAAGGTTGCAGGTTCAATCTCCAGGACTCATACAAGAAACAACCAATGAGTGCATAAATAAGTGGAACAACAAATTGGTATTTCTCTCTCTCTCAAATCAAATCAAAACAAAACAAAAACAACATAACAATATAATAAGGCCTTCTTTTCTCTTCTTGGGCAATTCTAAAAAGATTGAACCAATGCAGGCCCCAATGCTTTCTTGGTCCTTCTGGGAAGGTATAAACAGAGATGTCAACTCTGAAACTAAATCAAGGCTGCTTGAAGTAGGTTCCCAAACATGCAAATTTTGGTTGTTTCTTGCTAGTAATGTCTAAGGCAAAACACATACATCAGACATCTACGGCAGAAAGTGATTAAGATATCTGCACTAGGCCATCAAACATTGTTACAGCACCTGTAAAACAAAACAAAACAAAACAAAAAATATTACAATCTCAAAGGTTCCAATTAGTCACTTGGCCTTAAGTAACACAAAAGATTCAACTGGAATTTAAATACAAGATTTGAATGGAAATTCAGAATGAGGGAAGTTATGTAACAAGATCCTGACAGGCATCTGGATTTGCAAAAAATCCCTCCTCCTGAGTAATGTTCTTGGAAGGAAACAGACTTTCCAAAGTAAGGAAGTATAGACAGGCTGAGAATTAAAACTGGAGACCCAGCCAGAGTGACAGTCTGCCTCCACCCTGGAAAATCTCTACTTACTCATCTGTAAAACAATGAAACACCACCCACTTAATCAAAGCAACCATGTTCAGGAACAATGAAACCTCATATCAAAAGTACTAGCAGAGTAAGCCACACTTTACTAGACCTCATAACTTTCCCTACTGAGGGACCAGGTCAGAAGACCCACATTTTAATCCTGATTGTACAGAGTGAGATGCTGGAAAAATCACTTTACCTCTTTGCTCCTTTGTGTCCTTTTATGTAAAATTAAAGGCTTCATCATTAGTCCGTTCCAGCAATAAAATTCTATGATTCAATAGAGACAGAAGATCAGTAGCATAAGATCACAAAGTGAGAATGGGGAAATCAGGACTCCAGCCCAGATTTCTGTAACTTCTTTATTGATGACATTCCACAACATGAAAGACATTCCAGAGCCAACTGGCCATCTATCAGAAAAACTACAATTCCTGAAAACCCTTCTCAGGGCCAATCTATACTCCAAATGTGCTGGATAGATAATCCACAAAACTATGCCTTGGTTTTAATATCAATAGCATATCCACTTCTAGTTAAAAGCACCTCAGAAAAGAAATTCCACTTAGTGGAGAATCATTCCTCAAAACACCTTTCATCAAAATCAACTCTTTGAAAAACAGCCAACCACAGGAAGACTTAAAAAAAAAAAAAAAGAAAGAATGTACGGTGAACAGAAGAACTGTAAGAGGTAGGTATACAGGGAAAAAGTGGTAACTCAAGTCTTTGGAGTTAACATTTTCTTTTCTTCTCTCTTTTTTCTTTTCAAATTCTAAGAAAAAGTTTATTTAGAAAGTTACAGAGGTAGTAGAAGTTGGCCAGCTGGGCTTCATAGACTTAGGAAACAAGTTACACAAACAAAATAAGGGCCCTTGGAGTTTAGGAGAAAGGCAAAGGAATTGGGCCTTGGGGGAAAAAGAGGAGGGAGGAAAAGGCTCAGCATGCTCCCAAGAGGGAGTGTGTACCTGGATTTAACATTTTCTTAACAGTTTTACTCGCTTTCTAATAAGAAGATGAGGACAAATAATGCCTCTCAGGCTCAATCCAGTACCTTAAAAGTGGCAGCAATATAGGGAGAATGGAGGCTTGGAGGCTTTTCCACCAGAGGCATTCAATGGTGAACAGGAAAAGTTAAGAGACTAGGGCTTTGGTTTTACCAGAGTACCAGACAGCTGGGATATTTTGCGTAAGTGGCCATATAACTTACTCATAATAGCAAGGCTGAGTACCAAGGTTGCGGGTTCCATCCCTGGTCAGGGCTCACAGAATTAACAAATCAATGTTTTTCTGTCTGTCTTCCTCCCTTTCTCTCTCTCTCTCTCTAATATCAAAACAAAACCAAACCACCTTATCATCCAAACTAGTACCTTTTCTAAAAAATTATTTATCTTTTAAGAATGAAAAGCGCACTAATTGTAGTGGGACAATTGCGATGGTCCCAAGTGAACCAGGATATATGGACCTTAATTATGAAGGATCCCAGCAGGCAGCAAGACAGGCAGGGGACCTATAGAGCAAGCTACCTTATCAAACATATAAAGTAATCTTATCTCACCTTATCAACCAGCAGGGGTCACAGCAAAGGCAAAAGGGAAGAAGGGTTATAGGTTCAAATCTGGGGCCTGGTCGAGCTGTGAGCAGGAGGCAACCAATCGATGTGTCTTTCTTAGGTCAATGTTTCTCTCTCCCCTCTCCCTTCCACTCTCCCTAAAAATCAATATAAAAGATATCCTTACTCCTCCCATGAGGATTAAAATAAAAGGGGGTGGTGGGATGGGAAACTGCCTTTCCACCACCATCATCTCTGCAATTTGGATCTATTTTAAACCTGTCAATCTCCTCGAATGCCATTTTCTATTTGATTCCTACATGTCTCAGCCCTGGAATATTACTTCCATATTAAAACTGGCCCCAATAGGAAAATGGCACTCAAAGCACATGGACATGATCTCCAATGTATATCAACTCTGTATCCTGAGAGGTACATGATAGAATCTCGGTATTCAACACTGCAAAGTGCAAAGAATGAGGAAGGTGGCAATAAAATATGGATATCAAGGCATGGGAAGTGTAGACAACTAAAGTGACAAAATACTACTATCATGTCTTTCCCTAAATCCCTTGATTTAGAAAAATTGTTGTGAGCCCAGCCAGTGTGGCCTAGTAGTTGAGTGTCGACCCATGCACCAACAGATCACCAGTTGATTCCCAGTGAGGGCACATGCCCAGGGTGAGGGCTCAATCCCCAGTATGGGGCATGCAGGAGGCAGACAATCGATGTTGACGTTTGTCTCATCAATGTTTCTACCTCTTTCCCCCTCTCCCTTCCTCTCTCCAAAATCAATTAAAACATTTTTTTTTTTAAAGAGCTGAACTTAAAGAGCAACCCTCCTTGTTCACCCATCAGTGAATAACCTTGGAAATGAAATGCCTTCATTTTCACAGAAACATAATGAAGGTGCTGATGCCAGAAGTAAATTTTACTTGCAAGAACACAATACTTCCAGTTCATTAAGGAGTAAACAGGCTTATCATCTGGTCTAGGAGTTATATCGCTCTTTATGATACTGTATCTGTGGAAAAGTGCTTCCAAATGACTTGCCAAGTGAGTGCACTCTCTGGGCAAATAATCCCATGTGACACTATTTAAACCTTCGTCTGAGAAGCACTCTATTCTGAACCACATTATTCATCTGTGCCTCAGGCACAGATATTTCCTCCCCATGTATAATTATGAGGAAAGATACATATTTCTGTTGATTGACATTCAGCCAAATGTACTCAATCAGCATGCTTTCAGCAGATATCAAACTCAAACTACCGGCTCAGTAAATACATATATATTTGTTTGTACTTTTAGTTGGGCTAATGTAGAACCACCACCAACTTGGTAACCAGAGCCTTACTTACTCTTAGACTAAAGTAGGTGAGGTTAACCCAGTGTGAAATTAGTCACATGGTTTATGTAAGCAAGTGTGGATATACACAAAATATAAAAAGGAGACTTTAGATGACTGCCAAGACCAATCCCAGGTGAAGTGATTTCTAGCACCAAGAGAAACCTGCTTGAGGGGTGAGTATAGTAGCTGTGACCAGAACAGTGCTTACTGGCTCCAAGGTCACTGATCTACTCCCTCATGAAGGGATTTTTAAAAAGCAGCTAGTAAAGTATCAGAGTTACAGCATCAAGAGATGAGAATGCAGGGGGGAAATCAATACTTTTTAAATGTACATAACATTCTACAAATTTCAGAGCAGACAGCAGCATGTCTTGGAGCTAATGCAGACCCAGGCTGGAAATCCAGTTCCACCACGAATTATAGACATTTTCAAAGTTACTTAACTTCTCTAAGCCTCAGTTTCCTCAGATGTAAAATAAAAAAATAGGACTGCTCATCTGGTGTGGCTCAGTGGTTAAGCATCAACCTATGAAC